TGCAATGCTGCTCTCTGGACACAGTGTGACTATCTGGCTTTCAATGTGATGGTGTAATCTGGAATTTGTCATCTCGCTGTTGCTTATTTTCCTTGCAATTTGGTATCAGAGCTGGTTCATATTGCGCTTCATTGGTTCTTCGCAATAGTTGTTCGGTGCTTCACATGAGGTGTGGGGCAGTGATAAGGCTTGGGCGTTGAACATAGGGCGGCCCAGGGTCGTGTGGGCGCGCCAGGGAGCTATGTGGTGACATACAGGGTGTATGCTGGATGATGAGAGCTCGCTGATGTGACATATTAAGCCGAGGTGGAACTGCATTCTGCTGTTGATTGTGCCGAGGCAAAGACCGGTCATCGTAAATGCACATCAGGTTGCCGGTGAGAAATATGTGGTTGGGGGCAGCATTATGAGGTACGTTGCTCTCTTCCTTATCTACCCTCTTCGTTACTTCTTACCATGAGGAAGTGAGTTCTGTCTTGAGAGTCCTCTAGATGTGAGGTGTCGCGAGCGCCCAACCTTGAGAGTCGACATTCTTCCTGGGCAGCAAGCTGGTGGGAGACGGGCGAAGCCTCTGAAGGGCCCTGGACGAAGCACTCGGGTCACTGTCACCATGCCAACCCGCTAGGACTAGTACACACATGCTTTGCCGCAAGTCCTTGGTTCTGCTGCTTGCTCAATAGAGTTCATGCAGGGCATGCCAGCCCTTTGACAGACGCTTACCAGACCGTCTTTAAATATTTCTGGCGGGGACTCGGCGTTGACTCTGGCTGTGATCGTCGTCCTGTCTGCGGCGTTAAATAATTCCTGAGGAGTTACGGGGGATCTCCTTAAATGCCTCCTGATCAGCCAGATCAAACCGGGTGTAAGGCTACCTGCATGCGAGGGTAAATAATGTGCAGGGGCTGGCAGGTTCGGCGTTGACCTGGGGCACAGGGTGGGCCGGATTGCACACCTTCAGACACGCTGCTCAACCAGATGCTCAGGACGTTGACACAAAGTGACCAATCAAGAAGGATACAGAGGGAGGGGGGATTCCGGTAACTGTTCGCAGTGGCAATAAATAGACAATCTGCCGTCAAGCATACATCTCCAACATGAGATACTATTTTTATCTTTGATTATCTAGTTGTTACAGAATTGACTAACAACTGACAGACAGCTGCAAATATACTATATCTTTGCTGCACAACAATCTGTTCTAGGGTAATCTAAAAATAGCTATGGTATTTCCTGTAGGATCTGACATTAGTTGTTACTACATCACCTAACTGTTTCTGTTCAGTCCGACCGAAATTAGTTGTGATTCATAATCGGTTGTGTGTCAAGCTAAGGTAGGATTCAGTGTGGATTCTAGTTTAGATCACACACACTGTAGCTCATGAGTGATGCAAGCACTAGTGAGGAGGAGATGTTAGTGGACGACCGTAGGACTACTCGTGGAGCTGCTCGCAGTCGACCTTTGACTTTCCTAGAGTTAGGTCTAGGAGACGAGAGAAGATTGCGGAGAGAGGCTAGAGAGAGAGCAGCGGCAAGGAGAGCAAGGGCAGCTGAGGATAGTGCCAGGACTAGAGTTTCAGCTAGCACCGGTGCAGCCATGGCTACTTCATCTACCATGGCGCAAACCTCTTCACAGTCCACTTCGTCAGGAGTTAGTCAAAGTGGTTCTCAGGGGTCCATTAGCCAGAGTGCTGGCTTGCAAGTCAGCCAGGAGACTCAACTCACGCCGGAGGACTATGAGATCCTCCAAGCAGAAGAACTTCAAGATGAGCTACATCGGCAATTGGATGAGGCAGCAGAGAGGAGAAGGAGAGCAATCCTGAGAAAAGCTAGATTAGGTAGTAGAAGAGAGGAGCTAGGCAGACTGGAACATTAGATGAGTCAACGCTTGATCCTGCGATATGAGCGCTGCGTAACTCACTTCTTTGTGTGGCGGAAACGCAGGCTGTCCAACAGGAAGTGCTGGCTGAACTGATGGCAGGCCATAAAGAGATTCTGGCTGCACTACGGGCTCCTCGTCCCATGATGAGGCAGCCACAGTATGCTGTAGTTCCCCCTCCAGGCGCAGGTCCATCAGTGACGTTGCCGCCGATAGGGCCTCCATTCTCACCTATGTTTGGCATGCCCCCTCCAGGTGGTTTGGTAGCAACTAGTGGTCCGGTTCATAGAGTCTCAGCCGTACCATCGACGACAGTGGTCACTACAGTCCCACTGTCAAGCCAGGCCCAGGTTAGTGTGCAACAACCTGTTTCAGTGGCTATGCAGCCGCTGCAGCAAGCCCCTGGGGCCATGCAGCCTATGCAACCGATGCAGTGGATGCCCAAAATACCCTTGCTGAGTCCTAAGCCCTTCTCCGACGACAGGAAGAAGGATGAGGACTTGGCTACCTAGGTAAGGACGGTGCCTACCTATGTGAGGCACAAACTTACCAGGCCAGAGCAAGAAGTTGTTGTGGCTGCCTCCTTTCTAGAGGGGTCAGCAGCCCGCTGGTTGAATGGCCTAGTGCAGCAGCAGGGCTACGGTCAGGATTTCGATGGGGCTCAAAAGACCACCGATGCTATCAACAGTCTTTGTGCCAGAAGGTACAAGAATGTTAGAGAGCTGACGGACACCGTAGAACGTCTGCTCGTGGTTCCTGGCGTGCTCTATGACCAACAGGTACTCCTTACGGATTACCTTAGATGTCTGCCTTCAGAGGTGAGGACAAAGCTGGTAGATGAGGCTTATGTCGATCAGCATAACTTCGCCTCTTTCAACAAGAAAGCCTTAGACATAGAGGCTAAGTTGGGGTCTGCGCATCAGAGTCAGGGCGATGGTAGGAAGAAGAGACTACCCCAGGACTGGAAAAGGAAAGGTCAACTAACGTTCGTCGACCATGATGGTCTGACGACAAAAATTGACGACTTCCCAGACTTTGGGGAGGAGACAGAGCATGATGGGGCCAGTGAGACTTTGGATGGGGTGGGGGAGTCGTGGCACCTATCAAGGAAAAGGCTAGGGGGACCGGGAAGAAGAAGGTAGTACAGTCCACGGGTCCGGGCGACCAAGGAACACCCGCATGGGTAAAACTTGGTTTAGAGTATGAGGTGTGAAGGGACCGAGTTGCTAGGGGCTCGTGCATGAACTGTGGCAACTTTGGCCACACGTCTAGAATGTGTCGAGGACAGAAGGTCACGACGAGGGTAGCCTCACCAACGGTGGTGGGACTTTCTTCAAACTCTGGCGGTGCTTCTGCGAGCACTTCGCAGGGAAACACCTCGGGCCAGTAGGAGTTTTAGCCGCTCTGACTCGCGCTGAAGTGGTAACGTTGCCTTCCCCACTTCAGGCGTTGGCCAAGGCTAGTGACCCACGTAATGCCCCGCAGACACATTCAGACCCACTGACGCTCTGTTCGAGAGATGTGTCTGAGGCCCTAGAAGAGTTAGAGACTTAGTGGTCAGGGAAGGACCCAGAGACGCTTGGGCGATGACCAGTCGAGGTCCAAAGGGTGAACATTTCGTGATAGAGGTTGATGTAGGTGGCCGTAAGGTTGGCGCCTTCGCAGACAGAGGCTCTACACGAAACTTCATCAGTCGTGCTTGTGTGGATAAATTGTGCTTAGGGGACCAAGTGCAGCGGCTTAGCAGAACTGTAGCTTCTA